GTGGTCGGTAGCCGAGAAGACACTGCCCTGGAGGTGCCGGTGGGGTGCCCTTCCCTGCTTTGTGCTCGGGTGCTGTTCATGCCCCGACAGCGGGGTGTTCACTCTGAAGCCTAATGGTGTCCCTCAGTGCCAGCCACGCTGGTGCTCTTCCATGCCAGCATCCCCTGCGCTGGCAGGGGACACCGTCACCTCCGGGTGGCCACAGCCCTGGTCCTGGCAGGCTTCAGTGGACTCCTACCCTCTGCTGAGCCAGCGGGTCCTGCCCTCACTGGTAGTGCCAGTGGCTCTCGCTCTTCCCTTTCCAGCTGCAGAGCAGCCATGAGCCCTGGGGGCTGCCTGGCACTGTCAGTGGTGTCAGGGGGAGGTTGGGTGCCCTGCACTTGGGGGGCAGGTTAGGGTTACCCCATCCCTGCCTGTCTCCCTTAGCGGGGACCCTGCTGCTTTCGACTCCAGATCCTTGAGGACTACCTGCTGGTGGAAGATGTGCCTCTGCTGGAAGAGATGGCCGAGGAGGACGAAGAGCTCGACCTGTACAATGAGATGACTTTTGGGTTAGGTAAGATCTCAGGGGAGCCCCAGGGTCGGGGAGATCAGCCAGCACCCAATGGGGTGAGGAGGATGGAGGTAGGGGGGTGAGGAACGTGTCCTCCTGCCTGGTGAGGAGCTGGGTTGGGAGCAGGGACCCCGGCGGGTACTGCCTAGGTTCTCACCTACCCTGACGTGCTCTGCTTCCCCCCTCCAAGACCGAGACTCCACTGAGGAGGATGCCGCAAAACACCTGATGCCTCTGGAGATGAGTCCTGAGCTGGCTGAAGTAGTGGCAGAGGAGACCGAGGCTGGGGAAGAACCAGGGCCTGGAGTGGCTGAGCAACTGGAGGAGCTGGGAGAGCCCCAGGAGGAAGGTGGGATGGAGCCGGAGGTTGAGCAGGTCGGCTCCGAGTTGGAGGAAGAGGACGAGGAGCTGGGGACTGAGGAGCAGGAGGAAGACCAGGAGCCCTGCGAGGAGCCCAATGACCTGGGAGACCCGGCAGTGATGAAAGCCGTGCAGAGCAAACCCACGCTGGAGGTGACGCGTGAGCGGAGAGGGAGGGGACCCACGCCTGGCCAGCAGGCAGAGGGGCTGGCAGGGACCTGCTGCTCCCCCCTCCATCCCCACACCTGTGGGTCCTGCCCCACAGAGCACACCAGGGGGTAGTTTGGTCCCTGCCCAAGGGAGGAAGACCTGCTGTGCCAGGGCTGAGTACGTGCCTGTAACATCTTCTTTGCTTGCAGAGCCAGGACTCGGCGGTGCTGGACAGCAGGATTGGTGCTTGCTGGGCAGAGTTCGGCAAAGAGGACGTGGTAAAAATGTCCCCTCCCATCCGGTGACAAGGCTAAGTGGCCTCTGCAGTGTCCCCTGCCCCTCTCCTCCTGTCCTCCTTCCCTGTGCTGACCATCTCCCTGTCTTCCAGCTGGCGATGGATCCTGCGGTGTGGGGCTCCTGCCCTGGCAGCATCCCGCCCCACCATGTGCTGGAGGTGGGTACCCCTAGCCAGGCCCTCGGGGAGCGGCTGAGGGCTTCCCGGTACCCTGGGCCAAGGGTCATGCAGGCGATTTGGGGTGACCAGGGGATCTCCAAAGCCTCATCGTGGGTCTGGAGGTGCAAGGACGTGTCTCTTGGGTGCCAAGGCTGTGCCAAGGTGCCCATCCTAAGCAGAGCCTGGGTTTGAAGGCAAAGCTGTTGAGTTTGGGGGGGGACCGGGACCCCCATGCTGGGTGTCCCTGTGGGTCCCCTGCTGTTGCATGCTGCCAGGATGGGAGCCTGGCCGGTGCATGGTCTGGTTGAGCAACAGCCAAAGGCTTTGGTGAGCTGCCTGATGCTGGGGGAGCTAAACTGATCCCAGCTGGGCCCCGTTCCCACCTCCTGCTGCCTCCTCCCTGCAGGATAAAGCCATCCTCCAGGTCCTGGAGAGGGCCCCACCATCCACCAACGTGGCCCTCGACTTCCTCGGCTCCCCCATGCAGAGGGGCTACGGGGGCTCTCCCCGGCTCAAACGCCCCGACTTCAGACTGATGTCCCCCAAGTCCTTCCCCCAGCGCTTTCTCCGGCAGGTAACAGGTTTTGGGGGGCTCTTGCATCCCCTCTTCCTCTGCCCTCCCCTCCCCAGAGGTGCAGCTTTGAGGACAGGCTTGTCCTAGTGACACCTCCTGTCTCCTGCCCTGCAGCAGTCACCTCTGATGCCTCGTTCACCATGCTCCCCTCGGCCCTTCACGCCAGCTCGCAGACCCTCTCCGCTCTTTGCTTCCAACCAGGTAACGCAGTGGGCTGTGAGCCATCGCCGTGGCCCTGGAGTGGCAGGGGACGGTGACGGTGCCTCCCCAAAGCTCTGCCATCCAGGGCAGACTTTGCAGCTCCGTCTAATCCTGAGCGCACATCTCCAGCGTCTTGCTGATGGGGAAAGCGGAGCTACTGGTGTAGCCATTGCTTCATAAATCTGTTTGTCCTGATGTCCCCACGGGACCTGCACCAGGCATGGTGTTGTGCTTGGTGTCACTCTGGGACACTGGTGATGGACCTGGGGCGTGCAATCCCTGGTGACACCAGGGTCCCCTTGCTTTGCCCAGCCTTGGTGGCAGGATCCTGGAGGAAGTCACCTTGCCGTGGTGCCCCACGTGTCCCCTCCGTGCAGGCTGAGGGTGGCCCCTGCGAAGATGGGAGCCAGAAGCCAGCATGGAGCTTGCAGACCTCGCCGGGACCCTCGGAGGGGAAGGCTCAGACACTTGATTGCTTCTCTCTCTCCCTCTCCAGACCGCAGGGTACGCGGCTCCGACCCCTTTCCGGCCCATGTCGCCCAACATCAGCAGCCCGCCGCGGCCTCTCGCCATGCACTTCGGTCCTATGTCTCCCTCTTTGGACCCTGCTCTCTTCTTCAGTCCATCAGCCAGCAGCCAACTGAACCTCAGGTAGCAGGATGGCAAGTGGGGTGCCCGGGTGGGACTGAAGGAGCCCCACAAAGCAGCTGGGGGGGGTGCCCCCTCTGGGGATGGCTCTAGTGTGGGTGCTGAGCCCCCTGACCCCCGTCAGTCTCCTTTGCAGTGTGCCCAGCCATATGACCCAGCTGCACCCCCAGCACCAGCGGATCCTGACCCAGCGGCAGCAGCAAGGTGGGCAGGTGCAGAGGTAAGGGGGTCCTGGGTCCCCGGGGAGCTGTGGGGGGGTGGTGGGGCTCTAGGCAGTCAAAGCAGGCTGTGATCTTCTCCTGTGCCAGCACCTCCCCCAAGAAGCTGTGGTCTCCTAAAATGGACCCTTACTCTGGGCTGATGACCTCCAAGGAGAAGGACTGGGTCATTAAGGTGGAGATGATCCAGCTGCAGAGCGAGAACATGGATGATGACTACTACTACCAGGTGAGCTCCTGCCGGCAGTACCAGGGCCTCATCCTGCTCCTCGGGGCTGGGGCTTCATCCCTTTGGGAGCCAGACGATGCCCGGGCTCATGCTGGCTCCCCTCCTGGCTATGCCTGTCATTACAGACGTACTACCAGCGACTGGAGCACAAACAGGTGGAAGAGGAGCTGCTCGGCCGGCGCAACAAGCAGGAGCCCCCCAAGCTGGTCACGCCGTTCATCCAGAAAGTGGAGACGTACGACTCTGGTGAGGGCCTGGGGCGGGGGGCCAGGCAAGGGGTTGCGGGACGCGGTTTCACTGCGTTTCATCTCTCTTCTAGTGGTGCGCATCGCGGGCTCGCTGGGCCAGGTCGCGGTGTCCACCTGCTACAGCCCTCGCCGGGCCATTGATGCTGTGCACCATGCCCTCGTGGAGGAGGTAGGTGAGGGGGAGGCCGGGCTGGTGCCTGCCCTGGATGCTTGGGGACACTGCTCCGAGCTTTCCCCAGGCCCTGGAGCAGCTTTAGCAGGAGCTTTAGGAGCTTCTGCAGCTGAGCATGGGTGCCACCCCGGCTCTGGGTGCTGCCCCGAGCCATGGGATGGAGCGCGCAGTTGGAGCAGGTGCCGCCTCGGTGGTGGCAGCTTGTCCCCTGCCAAGGGGTGGGATGGGGCTCTGGGCAGTCGGAGCTGGCCGTGGCTTCCCCGTGGGATTGCTCTGTATCCTGAAGCCGCCTCTGATCCCCAGGGAGCAGCTGGCCCAGCGCTCTGCCGGCGGCGGTGTCTGGTGCTGGCTGTAACTGTTGTGCCTTCCTTTCTCCCCTCCTGAAGGCTGCGGGGAGCCACCGGCTTCGGGCGCTGCACAGGATCGAGAAGGTGAGCGAGCCGCCATTCAGGGCGATGTAGATGCTTGCTTTTCATCCGAGGAGCTCTGAGAAGGGATGTCTGCCTGGGCAGAGGTCCTGGATAACTGGCAGGCAGAGGATGCTCCAAGCTGCCTCCTTTACCCCATGTGGTTTCTCCAGCTCTTCCTGCAGCTGCTGGAAGTGGAGGAGATGCAGCGGAAGATGTCTCTGGCCCTGGAGGAGCAGCAGCCCTGCTGTCAGGAGCAGAAGAGCCAAGAAGTGGAGCGTATCTACCAAGCCTTGAAAATCAGGGCTTGCAGCAGTGAAGAGTGAGTTTGTGCCGTTGGGGAGCCGGGAGCAGGTGGCATGTCCAGGTCCTCATGGGGCTCAGTTGGTCATGGATGAGTAGTTCTGGGTGACGGCGAGGGTTGGATCCTGTCCTCTGTGTATCTCCGTGGCCTGTGCTGACCCTGCCCATGAGCCTCATCCTCCACTGGAGCTGATGCTGGTCCTTCTGGATGGACAGAGATGCTACAGGTCACTTGGGATCTGTGCCAATGGAGCCTTCGTCCCCAGGGAGGCAGAGGATGAATTCCTGCAACTCCTGTGTGTGCAGAAGGGCAAGAAGCTCACGGCCCGGCTGCTGCCCCACCTGACCCGGGAGCAAGCGGAGAAGATCCTGCTGACCGTCACCCACCACCTGCCCTTCCTCATGAAGAAGGACGTGTTGGATGAGGCGAGCACCTCCAGCCAGGGCAGGGGCATCCCGGGCTGCCTCCTTCCCCTGTTGCTCTTGCTGGGGCGGGGGGGCACTCTGGGCAATGGGGGGGCCCATCTTGCTGGGTCCCCAGCATGGCCAGGCAGCTGGTGGGCTTGACGTGAGGCAGGAGCCTCTTTCCTTCCCTGAGGAGGAGGAAGGTCTCCAGGAGGGGTTAAAGCACTCCTGGTGGCAGTCCCTCCCTGGGGGGGGTGGTGGTGGTGGTGTGTATGCAGCATTGACCCTTGCATCCCCCCCAGGTGTTGGGATGGGGCTCGGGGATGGGGCTGTGGCCGTGATGGGTCAAACAGTCTCAGATTCCTGCTCTCCCCTCTGCCCTGCCCAGTCTCTCCCCCTGCTCTACAGCCCCTTTAACAAGGTGGTGGGCGGGATGACCTTCAGCAAACTCATAGAGGTCCTGCAGGAGATGACCAGGCCTCTACCCGAGTCTCCTGAGCTCCCCCTCGCCATGGCCTTGAAGAACCAGGTAGGTGGCCCCAAGGAGGGCAGAGCTGTGTGGCGTCCCCGGGGTGCCACCACCGCCGACCGTGACGCTCCTCCTGGTGCTTCCCCGCAGTTTGGGATCTCCTTGCTCTACTCCCTGCTGAGCCACGGCGAGAGGCTGCTGTCCTCCGACACGCCGCTGGAGCCACGCGGCGGGGACTTCGAGACGTGGTGAGGGGCCGTGCAA